TGATCAGTTTGTTTAGTCTGTTGGTGTCGCTGGCTCCGATGCTGCCTCCCCAGCAGACTACAGCAGAGAACACTGCACTGGCAACAACAGACTGATAGAAAATGTTCAACATCTTGCTGCACACGCCGAAGGATCTCAGCTTCCTCAGGAAGTAGAGTCTGCTCATCCCCTTCTTGTGTACAGCCTCGGTGTTGATCCTCCAGTTCAGTCTGCTGTCAATGTGGACGCCCAGGTACCTGTAGTCCTCCACAGCTTTAATGTCCTCCCCCAGGATGTTCAGGGGCTGTGTGGCCGTCCTCGTCTTCCTGAAGTCCATCACCATCTCCCTCGTCTTGGCCACATTCAGGAGCAGATGGTTCCTCCCAGACCACTCCACAAAGTCACTCAGCAGCGCTCTGTACTCCTCATCCCGTCCACCACGTATACACCCAACCACTGCAGAGTCGTCAGAGAACTTCTGCAAGTGGACCAACTCAGAGTTGTAGTGAAAGTCTGAGGTGTACAGAGTGAACAGGAATGGAGAGAGCACAGCGCCCTGTGGGGCTCCTACGTCACTAACCACCACATCAGACAGAGCAGCTCCAAGACGGACAAACTGCGGCCTGCCGGTCAGGTAGTCAGTAACCCAGGAGACCGTGGGTGAGTCTCCCATCATCGTCTGCAGCCTCTCCCTCAGCAAAAGTGGCTGGATGGTGTTGAATGCACTGGACAAATCAAAGAAAGTGATTCTCACTGTGCAGCCAGCACCATCCAGGTGTGAGTGAGCCCTCTGCAGCAGCTAGATGACGCCATCCTCGACTCCCAGACGAGGCCGGTAAGCAAACTGCAAAGGGTCAAGGGAAGATTTTACCTGCGGACGGAGATGGGCCAAGACGGGCCAAGACTCAACTCTGCAGAGTGCTGCCGACCTGAAAGCAAGCAGTGGAGCTTTATTGCACACACGTCTGAGCGGAGGAGCGACGCCAGCAGCACGACATTCAACGATAAGGTGAGTGAGGTGAAAGAGAAGTTCATGGAACATGGCTCATTTAATTGGCTGCTTGTTTTAAACAAAACCTCTCAGCAACCCTGTGAGGCTGCACTCAAAAATGTAATTTGTTTAACTTACTTAATAGTTATGTCAGCAATTTCCACCGAACTCAGTTAAGCTAGAACTAATGAAGTAATATTAAAACTTGTGGAACTTAAGTGTAAGCACAATGACTGCATTAAGTGACTCCAACATTATCTGATCAACTCATACTTAATAAATTAGTGTCCAGCTAACTTAAACTTTAATTTGACATAATACCATTTCCTTCACTCTAATTTAATGTGTTAACCAACATAAAGGCTTTTTATTGGACTGACTTTACTCACTTTTGTGAATAGAACTCAGACGTATATGGTCAGACCAACTAAACAATAACTTCTAGTTCCTACACAACCTACTTAAGGGGAGCAACCAGTGGATTTTGTTGTACTCAACTGCTTTTAATTATTCTAATGATACTGATTTTAAGTGGACTCACTAAACCCCGATATGTCAACAATTTCCACACAGTGAAGTAAATTCAAATCAAAAACGCTGTTTCTTTGAAAAATCCAATTTATTGCCAATAAAACAGACAACTGGTGAACTGTCAGGGTTCAAGACAATGTCAGTCAACATCTTCCACCTTCAGACATCAATCTTAACAATGTTTAACCAAACAAAAATGGTACCATTCACTCAGTTGGCAATCTCTAACAGTGCTGCATAGAAAATGTTCAACATTACCTTTTAATACCACAACCATCAGGAAAACACGTTTTTGCAGAACCTCAAATGTGTGCCTCAGGTTTGTTGGGTAGCTCAAGTCCAGTGAGTACATGAGGCCAAATAAAATGTCCACTGCATTTGCAAATGTCACCGAGGTCATGAAGCACCTCAGCACCTCCACCCCCCTTCTATGATGATCCCAACATCTTCCAGGTCATCTGTTGGTTCGCCACCTTCTTTCTTTACGGTGAAGAGTCCCAGGACTGTCTGCTCCCATGGCCTCATGGTTGTCTTCAACATCCTGAAAAACAAAATAATTACACCTTTATTTACAACATACATGCAGAAAATAAATCATTTGCTCATTGACAAAAATCTACAAAAGAAAACTTTCCAGAGATAAAACGGTACCATCAGTGAATAATAGCTTCAAACAGCAGTCCACAAACTGTTACTACTGTGAGAATGTATTGAAATGATGGAAGCAATACCATTATTTTCTGTAGGCACCGAGGGACGCAGGACTGTGTAAAAGGTACCCAAGACAATAAGGAACTGATTGATTTGTTGTTTCTGGTGCTCTGATATCTTAATATTCTGTGCTATAAACCTGCATTTTTATCCAAAAGCCAACAAGGCAGTCAATCTGATCCTGAGAGATTTTCTTGGTTGTTATGGAGTTTGTTTAGAAACAGCTTTGAGAAAGTAAACAGGATTCCCATTTTCAGTTTCAAGAGCAATCATGTAGGAAGCACCAAAATACTTACAAGGTACTCCCTTAGTAGATTTTCAGGGTCTTCGTTGAATCAGTGCTCTGAGGATGCAGCTTCTTCTTGTTTCAACACTTTCATTCTACAACGGACAAGGGAAATGTTTGAAAGAATTATGTTATTATATTGTGCAGTAATTAGCATAACAGACTCATCAAAGTCTTTAGGCTGCTGATTTGTATCATGCCACTTCATGACTATTTTTTGAAGTTGAATGGCAGTGCTTACATTTGTTGACATGGTGGAATGTGCCTTTATTTGAGGGGGAATAAAATTCCTGATTGTTTAGCAAGACTCCAATTCTGAACAAGGTTCAGATTGTTGGATTGTTTTGTATATGCAGCAGCTTCATCCAATCTGCATCTGAGCATCACCATTGGTGAAAAAGTCTGATCTGGACCTTGGCTTGTTACATCAGACACAAAGAGGAAAGATTCAAAGCGTTGTAACATGGCTGCCATGTTTAGGAGCGTAGACATAATACAGAGTCGACCCCGCATCGGCCGCTACCACGTATTGGCGGCCATCTTGGTCCAGTCGTCCGCCCCAGTCTGCTCTGCTGTTGGACCGGGGCGGTGAAGTCTCAAAGCATTAAATCAATCATAGCTAGCTGAATACTTAATTGATTTTCACATGTTTTTTTTTCCTCTGCAAACGTCAGGCTATATGTTTTGGCGTTTCCAAATATTCATAACAGGATAAACAGTAAAATAATATTCTGATACGCAATGTATGTGTTGAATGATAAAAGAAAATAAAAGAAATATGCTAACAAAATGTAACATTGACTATAAACATTTGTTTACATTTAATTATTGATATTATTAGGCTATTATTTTGAAACATTTGACAGTTGAGAATGAGTGATTTAGAGTGATTCTTTTTATGTAGTTCGATTTTTTTGTGTTGTTAGGAAAAATCTTGATTAATATGCATTTAAGAAGCTGTGTACATAGCATCCTGACTAAAAACTCTCCCATCCACCACAGACAGTTTAGCCTTCTGGGGTCCAGCAGGACATGTGACCATTTTTGTCTTTTTTGAATCAACCTTTGATGGTAACTGACTCTGTTAATGCAAATGGCTTGACTTCTACAGGGAGATGTATTCTCACCCCAAATGTTAAAACCTGACCAATCCGTTCTTTACCAGATCAATAAGCTATATTTTTCACTCCCTTTAAGAACCTGAGAGGACAGAAATGTACATCTCTTTTAACTGCTGTCAAAATACAATTCATTATTTTTTTCTATTTTTTTCTTAAATCTCTTAATCAACTTGAGTCCTAATCATACAAAAAAAGTAGTCATATGCAGAGTTTTAATCCTTACACGCCAGTTTGATGCAGGATATGTAAAATACCTGAGCATTTGACTTTTTTCATATCAAAGGACATCCATCCATCCATCTTCTCCCGCTTATCCGGAGTCGGGTCGCGGAGGCAGCTGAAAAATGGTTAAAATGGGATGAAAAGGGTTAAAACTCTGCAAATTAATACTTTTTTGACAGTTATGATTCAGACTCGAGTTGCTCAAAAGATTTAAACAAAAAAAGGGGAAAAAATATGAATTAATGATATTCATAAAGCAGTGTAACGTGATTGTACATTTTTGATGGACAAAATATTTTTACGCTACTTTTGCCAATACACAAAAAAACACAATGCATCAAAATGAACAAAGCCATAAATTATTTACATGTCACAGGCCTGAAAATTAGATTTTTTTTTTCATTTTAAAAAGCTGTGACATCATATGATAAAAGTGGGATGAAAATGTATACTTTTTTGATAGTTATGATTCAGACTCGAGTTGATCATAAGATTTATACAAAAAAGTGGGGAAAATATTCATTTATGATATTTATAAAGCAGTTTAAGATGATTGCACATTTTTAATCAACAAAACAACCCAAAGGGTTAAACCTCTTTCGTTTGACATTTAAAGTTGAACTTCCTGATTTTACTATAGTATTCTGAATGAGCGCAGACATTTGTTAGAAAAACCCACCTTGTCTAAATCTTCCATGATATTTTTAATTTTTTGTCCTGCAGCTCCTCCTTTCTTTTGAAAAACTGCCGTCAGCCTGGAGGAGTGGTGTACCAGCTGCTGCATGAACTTAGATCTCAGCGAGTAAACTCTGCCTCCACCTGAAAACATTTAACAATGACAGAAAAAAATCAACAAATGTTTTGTGGTCTACAACAACACAAGATTGGTTCATGAAAACAACAATGGAATTATCAAACCAAGAAAATATTACTCGACTGATTGTCACTGTTGTCACACTATTATTGGAAATTATGTCAGAATGGCAGTTCATATTAACTTTCATTTCTGGTAAACATTCATATCATGTTTTCCCTTTACCCCTTAAAAAATTCATACTGAAATTATTGATCAACACAGTATTTCACTGACCTCACGCTGTGAGAAGAGAGCTGGCCTCCTTCTATTAAACTCTGAGATGAACGGCGTGTCTTTGACCACCTCATGCCGCCTGGAGGCGAACGTCCTCTCCATTTTCTCCTTCACCACTTGTTGCTGTTGCTTTTTGTCACCTCAGCCAGTAGTGCCAGCCTCTCCTCCTCTAGACTCTCTTGGGATTGCCCTGTTGGATAACTGGGATAGTAGTTCCCCTCTGCTCGTCGAGCTAAAACGCTAACGTAGCGTCTTCGCTGCTAACGTTAGCAGCTAAGACGCTAACGTAACGTCTTCGCTGCTAAAGGTAGAGAAACTGCATCGGCGCTTGTTGATAAATACTTGCCTGAATACATGTCAGTTAGCCTGGCAAGCTTGTGGCGTCCCCCGTGGATGTCGGCGCCCTTAGCATTTGCCTATACTGCCTATGCCTAGGGCCGGCTCTGGACGTCATCCACCGTTGATTCGGTATCTTGTTAGCTAGCTAACAGTCATTCACGTGCTCAAATATTACCCACATTTTAGCAAGTTAACTATGCAGTAACACCATCAATACCATTTTCATACCATAAATCTACATTCAATCATCAAAGACAGCATCAAAAATATATACTTACTTGGATAATTACTCGAATGTTGCCTGGTTAAATCCGTACTTCCTTCACCTTGGCACACCTGCTTCTTACTGACATGTAGTCAGATCCTGCGCATGCGCAATACAGATCTACTACGGAAACTTAATTGGGACAATCTTAGTGCGCACTTTTTGATTGTGCGATTCACTTAACACGTTATGTTGTCTACAGCCAATTGTCTTTATTAGCTTTAACAAATCCTAGGTTTTAGTTATACTTGCTAAAGTGGATTAGGTTTTATCAGCCAAAGTAGACATGTTAATTTAAATTGGTAAAGGTGCATTGCATTAATTCAACGACTCATTAAGTTCACTTTTTTTGAGTGTGTGCTGCTTACTCTTAGAAAATAGTCAAGGCGCGCGAGTCAGGTTTTTAACCTTTTGAAAGAGGGTAGTCTGACTCACCAGATGTAGACTGAGGGTAAAAGTCTACCATTGGCCGCTAATTTCAGGCAGCTTTGTTCCCTCCTATCAATCAAACAACAACAACGTCCAACCTAAGACACTGAAAATTTTAGGTTTTGCGAACTCAACGAGCTGATTTACATTTGAAATAATTAAAACACAACTTAAAGAGGAGAGTAAATAAATTGTCAAACCCAATATTAAGATTCTTTTACATTTAATAGAGCAAACAAAATTGGATTTTTAAAGCCTAAATACATTTTATTTAACATCTGCTAATGTCAACTGATCAATATTCATTTTCAGCACAAGGAATCCTCTTTGTTTGTATAGTTTGACTAGTAATAATGATAAACGGGACATTGTACTGAAACATAAACCTGTAAAGTGTAAAATGACATATTTCTTGTAACCTTTTAAGTAAAGCAGATCAACGTCAACCATTTAACTAATATGTCCAATTTATGTTTTGGTCCATTAAATTCCTCACTTGTTGTTTCTATTGGAGTTCAGTTGACATATTTCTTATGAAGGTCAGGAAATGTCACCTAATGCGCCTCCTTTCATCTTTCAGGTCTACGTTTGTGGGGATTCAACGGGAACGAGTGCCTGCCAGCAGCTGAATATTACACCCCAGGGGCTGACCAGTGGACAACGATTGCACCATGACCATCCGGCGCAGCGGAGTCGGAGTCGTGGTATATGCAGATCATATCTTTGCGGTAAGTACATGAGTCACTGCTGACACCCGGGGAACATATACATCACATCCATAATGTGTGAAAGCTTTCTTCAGCAGGGATTTTAAACTCATAAGACTGATGCTGGTGTTTGCCAGCATTACGCTTGTATAAAAAAAATCAGATTTATGTCCTGACTAGAACCTCAGGAAAACAATTCTTTTTATCTGTTTGTTTAATTGACTGAGGATGTTTCTGATATATCTATTTGCCTTCTACTTTATTTTACCTTCTTGTTTTAACTCAAAGACACGTTTCGCGCTGAGCTCTGTACATTTAAACACTCTCCCCATTACTTTACTTGTCCTCTCGCAGGTTGGTGGCTTTGATGGCCACAACCGTCTGGGCAGTGCCGAGGCCTATAACCCTCACACTAACAGCTGGATGGAGGTGGCCCCCATGATGACCACGTGCAGCAACTTTGGCATCGAGGTACTCGACAGCCGGCTCTTTGTCGTCGGGGGCTTCAAAAGCATCACCACCACCTATACCGTTGAGTCATACGACACCACGACAAACGAGTGGTCAGAGGTCCAAGACATGGACATTTTCCGGAGTGCCCTGAGCTGTTGCGTGATCTCTGGGCTGCCCAACATGGCCGAATACGCTGCCCCGCGTGACATCCAGCCGCTTCCACCACTGGAGGAAGTGATGTCAGAGTCAGAAGACTCTGACTAAACCTCGTGCCTCGCCATGTGCCACCATGAAGACTGACATAAAGAACCTAAAAATGTTCATCTGTGTTATATAAATAAATGTT